GGGGCCTCTGCCGGGTCCTCACTACCCCCGCGGGGGCGCTTGTCTCCCAGCGCTGGGCGTGGTGGAGTTCCGGGTGCTGAGCACCGACTTCAGGGACTACGCCGTGGTCTTCACGCAGCTGGAGTTCGCCGACGAGGCCTTCAGCACGGTGGAGCTGTACAGTGAGTGGGGGCCCAGGGCCCCCCGCCGCCGCCCGGCTGTGCTGGGCGCGCCGGCCCCGAGGCCCGGGGAGAGGGGCCCAGGGGTGGGGGGCTTCTGGGCCTCGGAGCGGCTGGTGGTGGGAGAGGCGGGGTGCCATGCGGCACCCCCCCACCCCCCTGGCCCAGTGAGGTGGCAGCCTCGCTCTGCTCCTCACTTCCAGTGGCCCCATCCCTGCACAAAATGGCCAAGTGGGACCCCCATGCCTTCCCTCCTCATTTCCCCCTCTGCACACTTGCCCTGTAGGAGGCACGGCCCTGCATGGAGGGAGGGACCAGGCTCCCTGACGCCCGGGCTGGGGAGGTGAGGGGCGGCACGTGGTGAAGGGCCTTGTGGTCAGAGGAGGGCAGAGTCCCTGGATCCTAGGAGTCCTGCTGCAGACCCGGCCCCCTTCCTAGCCCCAGGCCAGGCTCTCAGAGGGCACCCTGCCCTGCAGGTCGGTCGCAGCTGGCCAGCCAGGAGGCCATGCGCCTCTTCACCAAGTGGAGCAAAGGCCTGGGCTTCCTGTCGCAGCAGCAGGCCGAGCTGCAGAAGGACTGTGAGTGTGGCCATACCCACGGGCCTGCTGGGGCGGCACTGACGGGGTGGGGGGCGCATTTGCTGACTCCTCCTGGTCTTGGGGACCCTCCTGGCCTCAGGGAGTCAGGCAGGCCCCAGGGGAGATCTTCAAGGAGTGACCTGCCCCCTGCCCAAAATCAGGCCTGCGGGGACGCCCCCATCTCAGGCGAGGCTGTGGACAGGGACCAGCAGGGCCCCTGGGCACTCGGGCAGCTGCAGTCTGTCCTGGATAGCCCTGCTGGGCAGCCGAGACCTGCCAGGTCCTCACAGCCTGTCTCACTTCCCCCTCCAGTCACCTGTGCGCACAAGGCCTTCCAGGTAAGCTTCCCCCAGAACGTCACCTGGGGATCCCTGCACGGCAGGAGGAGCCAGGGGGCCCGGGGAGCTCCCACATCCCAGTGGGCAGGGGGCCCCTTGCCCCAGCCTGAGGGGCTGGTGGCTCCACTGCCGTGAAGCACCGGGGGCAGGGGGGCACCTCTTGTGGGGAGCCCGGGGTCCCCCAGTGCTCTTCTTGGTTTTCAGTGAATGCTGCGGCCCACAGGGGACAGCGCCTGCCTGTCCTGGTGGAGGCTGGCCAGGGGCCGCCCTCCTCACTTGGCCTCCAGCCATTGGGCCAGCTGCTCCCGGGGGCTCTCACTGCGGATCCCAATAAAGCGATTCCACAAACCCGCCCGATGCCTCTTGCTTGTGTGCTGGCAGGGCCCTGTGCTGGGCAGACAGAGGAGCTGCACAGGGGGGCTGCCTTCTCAGGGCTCCGGTCGGCGCAGGGAGAGGAGGACGGGGTGGGTGGGCTCGCCGAGGGCTGAACCGCAGAGCATAGAGCCAGCTCCAGGACAAGAGGCCTGACCTATACCTGCGTCCCTCACCAAAGTCCCTTTGGGTTGGGGACACCTGGACTCAGGCCCCAGCTTGCAGGGGACACCATGGTCCCTGGGCAAGTGGGAGGCTGGCCTGCATGGGCTGGAGCAAGAGCCTGTGGGTCGGCCCAGACGCGGTTTGGGCATCTGGAGGAAGCTGGCACCAGTGCCCACCAGGGCGCTTGGCTGGGGAGTGCTGTGTCCACGGCAGGAGAGTTTTGGCTCCTGGCCTGGGGCTCTGGGGCAGGGTCATTGGACTAGGACCCCAGAGGGCCTGAGCCTCTCAGTCCTCCTGTGTTCTGGGGGTGCCCTCTGAAGTCCTGGCAGAAGCATGGGCCGTGGGGGGAAGCTGGGCTGGACGCAGGGTGGGGGGCAGCCCATGGCTCACTGTGAGGTGCGCACAGGGGTGCCTTGCCCTCCGGGTCGGGTGTGCACACGCACACGTGCACATGCAAACACACACGTACACACATGTCCAGCCTGGGCCCATCTGTCAGTCCCGGTTCAGGGCATCGAGAAGGTAGCCCTGCTGTCGGCGCTAGCACCATCTGAGCCCCATCTTCATGGTGGTCATGCTTTCCTGTGCAAATCTCCCCGTGAAGTGACTCAGTGACTCCTCCAGGCCATCTGCCTCTGTCTTGGGGGGTAAGATGAGAGGCCCAGGGGTGAGACGGCTCCAGGGGACACTGGTGACTCCAAGCCCAGGAGAGCGACCTTGGGAACATGATGGCTTCCATCCTCAGGAGCCTCCCAGGCAGGCAGCGCCCCCTGGTGGTTGTGCTGCCCTGAGAGCTGAGCGCCGGGGCTGGCCCTCTGTGCCGGGGGAGGGGAGGGCCCAAAGCCCCCTTCCCTCCACGTCGGCCCACCTCAGGCTGGCTCGAGGCTCTGGGTTGGCCAGACGCCCACGGCTGGGCCGAGTGGACAGGGAGATTTAAACGCGGTGTCCGGGTGGCTGAGGGAGGAGGGCGAGGATGGGGCTGGGGTGGCTGCTGCCCGTGCTGGTCCTGGCAGTGGTGCTGGCTGTGGGGTCCCAGCCGCCAGAGCAGATCCCTAGGGAGGCCCACAATCTCAATTGGAGCAAGGTAAGGCACCTGTCCGCCGTCCCCGAGCCAGGCGCCGGGGCCAAGAGGGCCAGGGATGCAGGGGGAGCGGCTGGAAGATCACTTCCTGGAAATCTTCAGAGGGCGTCCCGAAACAGCGGGCAGCGCCCCGAGGCTGGCGGGAGGTTCGGGCGTGGGCTTCTGCCAGCCCAGCAGGGCTGCCCACCTAGCCTCTCCCTGAGGGGCTGACAGCCTCTCTAGAGGACAGACCAGGACTGCAAAACTCAACTGACAACCGTGGACCCCACCGGCCAGGAGCCCCGAGGAGGGGGCAGGGCGGAGGGCCACAGGCTGGTGTGGCCTGAGGTCGCCAGGAGCTGCCGGGTGGGCAGAGGGGAGGCGGAACGAGCAGGGCATGTTCTGGGATAATGAGAGTGCTGGCTAGGTGGAAGGTTCCGGTGGGGTCGGCCGTGGACACAGGCTGAGTGGACTGTGGCAATGCCCGGGAGCGTGGGTTTGTGGCAGGAATAGTCAGTGGGATGGGGTGCAGGGGCGAGCTGGAAGGACAGGGCCCCCAGGAGGCCCACGGAAGGAAGCGCCCCATGTGGTCCCCATGGCCCAGCCCTGTGGTGCCTCGGCCCCAACCAGCTGGGCAGCTGCCCTCCATGGCCTGGGGTGGGCCAGCCTGTGGGAGCTGGATGTGGGCGGGGCCTCAGGCAAGGGTCACTTGTCCTGCGGGTTCTGGGCTCCTGGCTGGGCGCCAGGGGAGTGGGGCAGCACCTATACCCTATGCTCCCCGGCACCTCTCTGCAGTTTTCAGGGTTCTGGTACATTCTTGCCGTCGCCTCTAACACCACAGGATTCTTGCCGAGCAGAGACAAGAGGAAGCTGGGGGCGTCCGTGGTGAAGGTTCACAACACAGGCCAGCTGAAGGTGGTCTTCGCTTTTAACCAGTGAGTGGTCGAGGGGAGCGGGGGGAGCGGCTGGAAGATCACTTCCTGGAAATCTTCAGAGGTCCCAGCACGCCCTTCGAGGACCCCTGACTGCAAACAGCCCAGGGTGTCTCCCTTTCCCCAGGCAGGGGGCAGCCAGACCCATGGGTCAGTCTGGACAGCCCACAAGGACGGTCCCTGCAGCCCCGACCCCATCACTTCCTGCCCCCTGAAATTCAAAAGGCTGGCTTGGGGAGAGGGCTCTGCAGTCCACGGGGCACACCAGCATAAGCGGTGGGAGTCGCCCTGGTCCAAATTGGAAAATTTCAGAGCAACAGAGCCAAGAAGGGGCTCGCTGGCCCCGAGCTTGCAGCCCTGCCCTGCCCCCTCAGGTCGCAGGGGTGCCAGGCGCACACGTTGCTTCTGCGGAAAGACAGGAAGAAGGCCGTGTTCAGGAATCCCCGTAAGTAAGACAGCCCGGGCCCGGGAGGAAGACCTGGGGTGGGAGAGTTCCTTGCTTCGTGGCCACCGAGACACTGGATATGACGCCACTGACTGCACTGCCCCCAGCTGCCCCTCTGTCCCCGAGACCATGGGTGGGTGGGACAGTCACCGGAGCACAGGGTGGTCAGGCCAGCCTTGGTCCCCGGGCCTCGCCTTCCCAGAGCCACGGGGTGCGTGTGCGCCTGGGCCGGGCCTGGGGAGACTCTCCGACCCCTTCCAGACCCCCCACTGGGCAGCGGGCGTCGTGGGCGGGCGGTGGTCCAGGCGCAAGTGGCAGCTCTGTGCTCTGTGCCCGCAGTGAGGGGGGTGCAGGGCTTCCGCGTGCTGTCCACCGACTACAGCCACGGCCTGGTCTACCTGCGCCTGGGGCGGGCTGGCCGCACCTCCAAGACCCTGCTGCTCTTCAGTGAGTCCGGTGGCTGCCCGAGGCTCCCGGTGGCCTGGGCGTCCTGGGCAGTGAGTGTGGAGGGTGGAGGCAGGGCGGGGGAGGGAGGGGGACCGAGGGGGATGGGGCTCAGAGGTGAGGACGTGGGTAAGAGGGAGGCCTCTGCCTCAGGCAGCTTGGGGGCCCTCACAGACCACCACAGACCGCGCTTACATGTGGACGCTCAGGTCTCACAGCTCAAGGTCCAGCATGCCGGGGTCCTGGTGGGGACCCTCTTCCTGATCTGCAGATGGCCACCTGTTTGCTGTGTGCTCACATGGCGGGGGGAGAGAGAGCTCTGGTCTCCCTCTTCTCATAATGGCACCAGTCCCATCAAGAGGACCCCATACTCGTGACCTCATCTAACCCTAATCACTTCCCAAGGCCCCACCTCCTAACACCGTCACACGGGGCTCCATGTGTGAATTTGGTCAGACATGACATGCAGTCCACAGGGGTCAGTCATGGCCCGGGGGGCGCAGGCTCCTGGGAGGGGTGATGTGGGGCTGGTGGGGAGTGTGTGTGGCCGATGAAGTGAGCGGATGGTCGGGGTGGGTGGGCAGAGCATGGGGCCCTGGACATTGAGACCACACAGGTGGATCCGGGAGGCGGCCGCAGCAGGGTGAGTAGGGGAGGTCAGAAAGCGAGAGTACCCCTGTGCACCCTCCCACTCCACCCCACCTTCCCCCACCAGCTGATGGCAGGATTCGGGGAGGAGGGGGAGTGGTGACAGAGAAGGCTGGATGTGGCAGGAGGAGGCTCTGCCCAGGGATGGGGCAGCTGGTGTGGAGGTGACTGGGGTGGGGGAAAGGGGCCTGACCCCACTTCCAGGCACCCTGATGCATGGGGCACGGGGGAATGGGCAGCCCTGTTGGAGAGGGTGGGACCCCCAGGGGGCCGGGGGGAGTCTCAGTAGAGGTGGGCACGTCCAGGAATGCAGCGGGAGGGGCACCAGCCAAGACTGGCCAGATGGGATTGGATGAACAGAGAGGGCTAGCCAAGTGACCCTGAATGGTGACCCCTCCTCCCGAGCCTCTCTGGGGACACCCCCTTGCCCTGGAGCAGAGAGGGGCAGAAGGACGCTTCCCATCACCCACCAGCCACCGGCTTTCCCTCAGCGGCACCCCTGGCTCCTGCGTCCCGCAAGCTCAGGGGCATTTCGGTGGCTGTGGGATAGGGTGGGGGGTCCGGGTGCAGCCCCAAGTGTCCAGAACTGGAAACTCTGATGTGACTCTGCTTGCCGGCCGCAGGCAGACAGAACACGTCCAGCTTCCTGAGCATGAAGGGCTTCGCAGACACATGTGAGGTGCTGGAGCTCACAGATGGCGCGGCCGTCCTCCCGAAAGACGGTAAATGTGGCCGCAAGGCTCCAGGTCTAGGACAACAGTGTCCTGGCCCCACCTGCCCATCCTGGTAGAGCTGACTCACACGAGAAGGAGAGACGAGAGGATGACAGTGTCACCTTTTTAAAGATCTGAAGCCAACTCTGAAGGCACGCCCGCATGTGCATCCCCGTTCCTGCCTCCCGGTCCTTTACCAGCATCAGGGTCATCATGCCTGCAGCCCCTGCACAGGGAGCGAGAGGGGGCACCCAGAGCACAGACGCTCTGTGGTCTCTGTGGCTGTGGCTGGAGGACCAGGGGCTGCACGGCTCTGCCCTCTGCGGTGCCCAAGACCAGCATTTATGGAGCCAGCA